GTTGATCTGCGTTGCCTCGTGTTGACCCCTGTTGCTCTGTTGATCCCCGTTGACCTGTGTTGACCCGTGCTGACCCCTATGGATCTATGTTGACCCATGTCACTCCGTGTTGCTCCATATTGACCCATGTAGACCTGTGTTGATCCATGATGTCCCATGTCATTCTGTGTTGACCCATGTTGAGCCAGTGTTGACCTGTGTTGACCCGTGTTGATCACTGTTGACCTATGTTGATCCGTGTTGCTCCATGTTGGCCTGTGTTGACCTGTGTTGACCTGTTGACCCATGTTGACCTGTGCTGACCTGTGTTGATCCATGTTCACCTGTGGATCCATGTTGACCCGTGTTGGTCTGTGTTGACCCATGTTGACCTGTGTTGACCTACGATGGTGCATGTTCACCCATGTCGCTCCATGTTAGCTGTGTTGATCCATGTTGACCTGGGTTGACCCTCATCGATGCACGTCACTCTCTTTTGACCCATGTTGATCCATTGACTTGTTGATCTATGTTGACTCATGTTGACCCATGTCACCCCGTGTTGATCTGTGCTGATCCATGTTGACCTGTGTTGACCCATGTTGACCCATTAACTTATGTTGCTCCATGTTGCTCCATGTTGACCCGTATCGATCCATGTTGACCCATGTTGACCCCTGTCAACTTGTGTTGCTCCGTGTTGCTCCATGTTGACCCGTATCGATCCACGTTGACCCACGTTGATCCGTGTTGACCCGTATCGATCCATGTTGCTCCACGTTGACCCGTATTGATCCGCGTTGACCCACATTGATCCGTGTTGACCCGTATCGATCCACGTTGACCCACGTTGATCCGTGTTGACCCGTATCGATCCATGTTGCTCCACGTTGACCCGTATTGATCCGCGTTGACCCACATTGATCCGTGTTGACCCGTATCGATCCACGTTGACCCACGTTGATCCGTGTTGACCCGTATCGATCCATGTTGCTCCACGTTGACCCGTATTGATCCGCGTTGACCCACATTGATCCGTGTTGACCCGTATCGATCCACGTTGACCCACGTTGATCCGTGTTGACCCGT